AAAAAGATCTGTCTCTCCTTTGTTTTTGTTCATTCAAATGATGATGACGATGATGATAAAAATATTGACAAAATTTTTATACAGCCTATTTGAATGAAATATTAATGGGCTAACAAATTGAGATACCTAACAGTTTAATTAAACCAATTTTTTTTCTTTTTTTTTTCTTCTACTAGAAATTAACATTTATTTATAACGTAAAAAAAAATTCGAAATGATATTAGAAATAATAGCCATTATGACAGTAAAAAAAAGTTGTAATAAAAACAAAAACAAAATCAATTTTACGGCTGATATTTCCTCAAAATTTTTCGTCTTCTCATTATCGTTAACTGTACTTAACAAGGCAAAAAAAATTGATCACTGATGACTGTTTCAATAAGAATTGAAAGATTTCTAATCCGACTAATATTTCTTGCCTTTATTATCTATTTTTTTTAACTTAGAGTAAATTCTCAACTTTTTTTGAAAGCATAAATATGTCAAAAAAATTAATTTGTTCCTCTTCTTTTTTAAGATACTTTAACAAAAAAATACTTCAAAAATTCCACGAAACATTCAGCTCAATTTTTGTTTTGTTTCGTTTTCATTTATTTACAACTAAATCAAAAATGCTGATAAACGATACAAAATTGTAGACATTTGGTAATAGCTACACAAATTTATGATTAGGTATAATTGAAAATTCAGTGAGAAAAATTTGGATAAAATCAACCAATAAATCTGAAACAGCTGTATATGAAACAAAAAAAAAAAAAAAACGTTTGACCAGTTGCAGTTTCAAATAAAACAATTCTGAACACAATTCCAGTGATATAACACCTAAAACTTCAAAATATTTCGAAGTTTTGCTTTAAATAATCAAAAAAGAAATTTTTTTTTTGAAGTAATCATCAAATAACAGTTAATTAGTGCAAATAGATCATAAAATTGTTGAATGCCATTTAATAGCAACTCCTAACTATCGACTAAGACTAAAACTACCGTACCAAAACAGAAAAAAAAAAAAAAGTTTTGGTTTTATCAAATCAATTCTCTCTGATTATCGCCAACCATTTGTCTATAGCTTCAAAAAGACAACGCAAAAAAATTGCTACCAGTAAAAATTTTAAATAATTTTCAATCATCTTCTGATTGTGGGGCTAAACATTCAGAATTCAGCAATTCAGTCACTATTACCGTCTGTTGTATCCAACAATCCAATATGCATCGTTTTCAAAACCTAATCATCACTTACAGTTTTCGGCGCAAACAAAATATATATAAGAAATAGAAAAAAGATGAAAATAAGCAGCACAATAAATGTTGAAAAAAGAAACTTTCTTCTGAAAACAAGCAAACTCAAAATGACAGTAGCAAAATTTTGCTTTGCTTTTCTTTTCTTTTTTCTTTTCCACTTTTTAGGAGAAGAAAAAAAATTTGATTTATTTGGTTGACGAGATCCAACAACGAGATGAGCAGAAAAGCAAAAGAAAAAAAAGCGTTGACTGAAATGCACAAATTAAAAATTGTTGTCTTTTTTCTTTCTGTTTTTTTTTTTCTTGATTTTTTTTTCTTTTTTTGCAACATTTCATTTGTTTTGTGCAGGAAACTGAAACAAAAAAAAGAAAAAAAAACGAAAACTTTTTTCCTCTTCACCAACAATAACCACTTATTGGATAACAACAACGGCAACATCCTGAAGTATTCTTCTATCCTATAAACAAATACATAGAGCAGAAAATAATTCCTTTACT